TCGCAAGGGAGTTAAAATCTATAGAGCACTTCCCGGTGACCTAGAATAATGAAATTCGGCAAAAAAAACAATGTCTTATAGCACAAGTAAAGGGGAAAATTCGAAAACCATAAATTAATAGTTTCCATTTGCGATTGTAAATTTATTCCAATGTTTTATGCTACGGAACTTTCGGAGTTAAACTCGCACTTGACCGATTTGTTTTATTATAATTTTACGTGTTATTATATCTTTGTTTTATTATTACTTTTTTAATATCTGCCTGTAATGTCAAAACAAGAGCTTTTTACTAAATGTATATAATTAAGAAATAATCATCAATTTTGTCTGTCTGTTCGTATGTTCCGGCTAATCTCCAAAACGGCTGGGCTGATTTTGACTGGATTTTTACTGCCAAATAGCTGTTATTATAAAGAGTAGCTTAGGCTACTTTTATTTTAGAAAAAAATTAGAGTTCCGCCCAAAATAATTAAAATGTAGTTAGGGACGCACCCGAGTGAAGCGAGGGTGAGTCGCTAATATGTGCATAAGTATTGATTCAATCTGTCGTCGGAAGTCGACACCAATGGACAACGCTCCGACACAAAGTACTACTGTACCGTATAATTTGGATTAGCTTCATGAATTGACTGGCGCGGGGTTTAATGTCTGTGCTTCTGCTGACAAACGCGGATTACCTATAATATAGTGTACTAGAAATGGGCTTTTATTTAAAATACAGACTAAGACTAAATGATATTTCCATGCAAATTGCTCAATAATAATTTATGAGCGACAGTGTCAGTGTTATGTATGTAGGTTGAACTTACCTACATGTTATAAATCTTAATCTTTATATATATAATTCTTCTGTGAGTGTGTATATCACTGAACTTCTCTCAAACGACTGGACCGATTTTGATGAAATTTTTTGTGTCTGTTCAAGGGGATCTGGGAATGGTTTAAATTCACAATTTGAATAATAATTTTCATCAAAAAAATTATTAAAAAAAGTTTGAAATTTTCAAATTAAAGACGTGTAGACAGGACAACGTCTGTCGGGTCCGCTAGTTTATATATATAATTCTTATGTACGCGTGTTCGTCACCTAACTCCTACTAAACGGCTGGACCGATTTGGATGAAATTTTATGTGTATATTTCAATGGGCTCCCGGAATGTTTTGAAAACACACAATAATCAGAAAATCAGAAAAGATAGTTTTATTTAACCCTCGGGAACAGTATATTTTTACGGGATAAAAAGTTCCGTTCAGACGTTCTCGCGTGAAAGAGTAACAAACATCCATACATATGCACAAACTATCACATTTATAATATTAAGTAGTATAGTAGTCAAATATTCGCGTAAATCTAAGGAAGTATTTTATAAGCAATAATAATAAAATTAAACACATGGGCTACAAAAAAATATTATTATCGAAAGAGTTTAACCATAAATGAAAGTAGATGAAGGATAATCGACAGTAAAAAATGTATAGAGTTCATTTTAATAGCTCTCCACAACTCGAGTGGGTACGCGTGCTCCCCGTGCGGATTTACCGCGGCTTTACCGTGCCATGGTGCTCGCGATTGGTTATTTTGATTAATTGTCATCAGGCCTTTTCCGTAATTTTTGACCGACTTACAAAAAGAAGATTGTTAATTTAGCTTATTATGTAGTTCGTAGTGAAAATATTTCAGCAAATTGAATTAATTATAGCGAGTTACTCTCGCTTCGCTCGGGTGCCTAGTTGGTTCCCTAGCTACGCGGATTTTGTTTACGATTTCATGGGTTTTAATTTTTTGCGCGGAACTCGGATTCTTTTTTCTAAAATAAGTTGCCTAAGTTACTCCTTATAACATCTGCAGCTATCTAATAGTGAAAATCCCATTGAAATCGCCCCAGCAGTTTCGAAGATTAGCCGGAACAAACAGACAGACAGACAAAAAATTTTAAAATGGTTTTTTTCTTTTAAGTACCGTATATAATTCCATATGAATTTAGTAAAAAGCTGTAATTTTGACATCACAAACAGACACTTCAATATTAGTTATCCGTATAGATTTTCTGTGGTGTCTTTGAAGTTTGATAAAATGAGTTTTATCACGTCATTTCATTCATTAATTGACCATTTTATACACCCGTTTTAGAAATTAAATATTTTTTGGAAAATCTTATTGAAATAAACATTATTATCGATACAGAGGCCGAATCTATAGTTTTTAGAATTTTTGTCTGTCTGTCTGTCTGCCTGCTAGTTCAATATACAATCAATTTTTTAAATGAATACATTGATTAATTTGAGATTTTTATTTCCATAATAGTGTCGATACAAGTGGACAACAACGCACCCCTCCCTACGGTATTGTAACAGTATTATTTGGATTAGCTATTCACTTTGACATACGAGAGAGGGTGCGGGCCACTAAGAATGATTTGGTATACTTTAATTATAGTTTAGATTATATATACCTATCTATACATATAATAAAGTTCTGAGTTGAATATGTACGTTAAATATTTTTTTTAAATCAAAAAATAAAGAGATGAGATATTTTCTCTCAGTAAAAAGTATCCTATATGTTCACCCGGATAATCAGCTATCATTATTCCGAATTTCATCAAAATCTGTCCAGTGGTTTCCTCGTGATGCGTCCCAGACAGACAGACAAAAATTCTTAAAATATAGATGCGGCCTCTGTATCTATTTAATGACTATTTCAATAAGATTTTCCGGAAAAAAAATTAATCTACAGATTCGACTCGGTTTCTAGTCTAAGACTAAACTAACAAATAAAAAAAAAACATTATCTACCCACCGTTTTTTATTGATTCGCCGCTGTCGGCTAAAAATAATGGAATATTCTCCAAATATATTAACTTAAAGGAATTTTTCATACATAACGCTTTTACTTATTAATACTTTTAATAATAGTTCTAAAATTATTTGTTTTTGAACATGACAATAATTATTGTAGTGTAATGTGAAACGGAAACAAGTCTTATAAAAAAATTACGCTTCGAAGTTACTTATTTTATAGCTCATCACGAAGAGCTGTTAAAATATTGCCAATTTTGCTAAGATTACCGATTTATTTTAATTGTAATTTTTAAGCCTGCAGCGTTCAATTTACATTAAAATCTGTTCTCGTAGTTAAATGAGCAGAATCAGAGTGGATTTTGATTAGACGATTTTGATGAAATTTTCACTATTAAGATTTTAGAGGTAATTGTTTCCCAAGACGGTTTTACGCATATATAGATCCAAACAGTGAAATATAATTTAGTTTATATCACATACAAAGAACGGTTGTTTTCATTTTGGAAGTCGGTTGTTATGAACGATATTAATAATCCCTTTATAGTAAGGGCGAAGAAATAAGGTTAATAGTAACCTATAAGAGGACGGTTTATCTCGCATTGTTTGGGAAATTCGCCATTGTTTCGTGGTATAATAGCGTTGTATTACTTTTGCCGCTTCATATTTGCAGTCTGGATTACTTAAACGTGTAGAATAAGATTGTTATACGAATTTATTGTACTAACTAGCATTGCCCGCGGCTCCGCCCGCGTTCAGATGACTAAAAACCAAATTCTTAAGTTTTACATATTAGTATACTCTTACATTGCAGTTTTTGTATTTTTTCTCAGAAATGAGATATTTTTCCGCGGTAAAAAGTATCCTATGTGTTGACCCGGATAACCAGCTATGATCATACCAAATTTCATCAAAATCTGTCCAGTGGTTTTCTCGTGATGCGGTAACAGACAGACAGACAGACAAAAATTCTAAAAACTATAGATTCGGACTCTGTTTCGATAATAATGTCTATTTCAATTAGATTTTCCAAAAAATATTTAATGTACAGATTCGACTTAGTTACAATTTTATTATATGTATAGACTAGATGAGTTTAGTAAGTAGGCGTATCTAGATTTTTTTTTGGAAAATCTAGAATTTTCGTGAAGTTGTATTAAGGTTACAAGTGAATTCGGGTTGTGATGGAAAAATCGGCAAAAGAAATTTCAATTTTACATTTTATGCATATTATATCTCTCATTTAACCCTATAGGTTGATGAGTTTTTAAAAAACCCTTTCTTAATGCTCACCTTTATTATAGTAGTAACTCTTGTGTAAAATTTCATGGGCTTAGACTCAGTGGTGTAGAATTTTATTGAGAGTGTCCCATGAGACCGCTACGATTCGGATTCGTAAGAGCGAGATGACAATATAATGTTCTATCGTGAGTCAGAAGTATAGAGCTATAGATGCTCAACATATTTAAGCGTCAAAACAGTTTTTAATTCACTATAAATTAATTAAACAACCAATCGGAAAATGAAATTCGGTTACTGAAGAAATACTTCTAGGTTTCCTGACAAAAATCCTACAAAAATAACGAGCTGTTTCGGTTATTATTTCCAAAAATCCCACTTTAGCCAGTTTTTTTTTTTCATTTAAAATGATAAAATTTCTAATTTTACATCATTCTCACCCTCTAAAAATATGCAGAAAAATTTGAATTTAAATATTCATCCTCGTAGTTTTTCTGGGCTTCCTGACAAAACAAAAACCCTGCAAGAATAAAGAGCTGTTTTGGGACATAAATAGCAATATATACTCAAAACATATTATGTATATATTAAAAAAAAATATATTATCGAGAAAATTTTCACCCATCGTGTTTTCAAATTTGGCAATTGAAGATGAAAGTCCGAAGTGGCATTTCACAGATTTTTCACAGATTCTGAGATAAATATGTCTTGGTACAAAATTGTCTTAAGCACACTCCAAAGAAAAAGACGAAATATGTAGAATAAAAAAATTAAGCGTCTACTAATATATAATAATTATAGTTTTGTAATGTTTATGTATGATGAATAATAGTTTTTCGTACCACGAATATGGCATAACGTGTGATATTTTGATTTTCACCATTCGTTTGAGGAACCTGTGTTTGGCTAACATTTTTTTGGTATAAATGTAAAGTTATACTTAATACAAATTATTTTTGCAGTCACAGAAAAAGCTGGTTACCAGTCGCCATATGGAGGCATGGACAATGGCATGGTGAGTGATTTCTTTATTATTTGTGTTTTTTTTAATTCATTTTATAGTCTGTACTTTATTTTTTTTTTAATTTATTATTTTGATAATTATATATTTTTTTAATAATATATTTAAATATTGCTTAGATTATCTTAGTCTATAACAAATGAGTTGCTCTCATCTTAGCGATCGTTTGTCGTTTATATTTTGTATGACTGCTATGACTCAACGGCTGGACTGCTTTTGATTAAATTTGTGTGTTTGGGCTATTTTAAGAAACATGAAAGCCTAGGGAATTGTTTTCATCAATCATCTTGTTCCACAGAAATGAGTCGTCGAGTCATACTCATATTCCTACTTCTAGCGATCTCTCTTCGTTACGAATAAGTCATTTGCTCATATTACTATATAGCACCTGAGCGATCGAGCTTCGCTCGGAGTCCTTTTTTTATATCGTATTTTTTAGATAATTTATATAACTTAAAACTAGATCGAGTTTTCGCCCCCGAAAACCCCCACACACCAAATTTCAGAGAAATCCGAAGAGCCGTTTCCGAGATCGCCGGTATATATAAATAAATAAATATACAAGAATTGCTTGTTTAGGTATTATGAATTTAAGAAAATTCATGTTCGCCTAATTGCCCAAATTATTATTATTATTATTGAAAGTTTGGGAAAAACCTAATACTTGAAAGAATTTACCTATCTATATAAAAAAACGAACTATTTGAATATATATATATATATATAAAAAGCTTGTCAATAACTACTAAACAAGTAAAAAAAAATTAGAAATCCGATTAACAAACAGGAGAAAAAGGTACTGTTTTGTTTTTTACCTATTAATAAATAGACCGTAATATAAAAAATTGTTATGATGTTCTATGGAAAAGAAACAGACGAACTAATATAATTTTGCGTATATAACATTACATATAAATATACATTATATTCTTACATCCATACTACGAGTATCCACGATCCATATTTCCATACTTAATATTATAAATGTGAAAGTGTGTTTGTTTGTTTGTTTGTCCTTCTTTCATGTCGAAACAGAGAACAGATTGGCTAGATTTTTAGTGTGAAGATAGTTGGAGGGTTGGAGAGTGACATAGGCTCCTTTTTACCGTGACAGATTATCTCATTCCCACGGGAAGTTCACGGGAAAAATCCAAAAAAAAATCACGGCAAAGAATTACTTGAAACTTGGTATTAGTGCTCTTCAATAGAATAAAATAAATACGTGTTTTAGAATTTTTCGGAATTCATTCCATAAGGGGGTAAAATATGGGGATAAAAGTTTGTATGAAACCTACCTTTTTAGAGTTTTTTGTTTGTAGTCTTAGCGCGAGCGAAACTGCGGGTTCTGCTAGTACAATATATAATATATATTTTATTAGGAATACACCTAACGTTAAACCTTTGTATATTTTTTATTCAAAAAAGAAATATTTTTGTTGCCCCAGAATAGTTGAGCAGATATGATTTATGTAGGATCCGTTTTTGTTGGATAAAATACTGCGACGCTAGGCATTCCTTTGCCTTTTCTCAATTGTATACATTTCAATTTTTTAGTGGGAAAAGCTACATAAATCTGAAGTTTATTTTGATTTAATAAATGGGAAAATTGTTAGCAGGTTTGAATATTTTTCTATGCTTAATAGTTGAGTGATATTAACAAACATACTAGATTATGCATTTTTTGGGTTAAAATATATATTTTTTGCTTAAATATAGTTGTGGTATGTATGGGTAAAATTAGGTATTTAATAGTATAATAATTATTAAAAAAATATTGGCCCGGGCGAGGATCGAACTCACGACCTTAAGATTATGAGACTTACGCGATACAATATACATAGAATAAAATTCTAACTGAGCCGAATCTGCACATTTCATATTTTTTGGAAAATCTTATTGAAACGGAGCAGGCAAATCTATAGTTTGTTTTTTGAATTTTTATCTGTATGTCTTTTTATCTGCGAGTAAAGCTATATATATAGCTATATAAACTAATTTCTGGTCGGGTCTCACGTAGGATAAGTATCAACTTATTATATTAGAATATTGTAAACAGGTATAAAATAAATATAAATAAATATGTTGGGACATAAACACACAGCACCATCTAGTTCCATAGTGAGCTGCGAGGCTTGTGTTATGGATACCAGATAGTTGATACACTACACATTTAAACCTTTAAATACATACATATTATATACATAGACATCCATAACTGGAGTACAAACATTCGTGTTCATCACACATATGAATGACCCCAGCGGAACTCGAATCCGCGACCGCTAGCACAGCAAGTAGGGTCACTACAAACTGAGCTAAACGTGTCATCAAATTTTTAAAAGAAATTATTTTAAAAGATCAATTTTTGACTTTCTCGCCGGCTCCTCTCAGCAGAACTGCCTTCCGAGCCGGTGGTGGATTCCTCACGTATTGACTACACTGACAAATGACATAGAATTTTATTTAAATTTAATATGTAAAATTGACGATTCAAAAGTGCTTGTAAAAGTCTATTTGAATGAAGTTTATTTTGATTTCATTTAATTTGAATGCATCATGAGAAAACCACTGTACAGATTTTGATGAAATTTGGTATGATGATAGCTGGTTATCCGGGTCAACATATATGATACTTTTTACAGCGGGAAAATATCTCATCTCTGAGAAATCTATACTAAACGTTAAAATGTAATACGTCCGTAACGTACGTATAAATATAAAAATACACAAAGGAAATCTTAAAAAAAATACTGTGTTCTGTTGAGATATAAGAAGCTATACTATTAGTGGAATATTTCTTTTTATATATGTAATTATGGTATTGAAAATCAAGTATCTATCTATCTACAAATGCATAAAACATAAAATTATATTATTGTATAGATGATCTAAAGAATAGTACTATAACTATAAAATATAATTAATATGTTATATATAACCTTAAATAGAAAAAAAACCATTAAAATACATAGTTATTTGGGCCCGATATGTTAAGTAGATTTTTGCTATCACCGGGAATCGAACTTAAATTATCGACTTAAGCGATTGAGCTGTTAAAATCTCCGAATGCAGTTGGAGCGCATCACTAGTGAATAATATTTTCTAAATAACAGTGTTACAGAACATGTTTATAATAAAAACCTGTTACGACAGGTGTATAAAATAATTATGTATTTACAATTATAGGTACTTTACCGTAACTTTGAAGTCTCTATCTTCTCAGATGTTGTACACGGTCTTTACCTACGGTCATTGCCTTTAGATTTTATAAGATTTGATTTGTCTTTTATAATAATTGTTAATGTGGTATTATTTAATACTATTCGGACCAGTGGGCGAAATTCATTATAGAAAATTTACTTATACAGATAAATAAAATTGAAGTGTCTGTTTGTAATGTCAAAATGATAGCTTTATATGAAATTAATTATATACGGTACTTATAAGAAAAACATAGCTTTTAAAAATGTCTGTCTGTCTTCTTATTCCGAATGATTTTCGAAAAAGCTAAGCTGATTTTGACGGGGCTTTCATTGTTAGATAGCTAATGTTATAAGGCGTAACTTAAATTACTTATATCTATCTATATAAAAGAGACTTTTTTTATTGATAACATAAAAGCTCGTCAATAGATTTTTAAAGATTTAATGAATTTCTTTGTTTTATCTGCAAATTTTATGCTACCATTTGGACAGCATTAACTTTTTGTGGCGTTACAAAGAAAATGTTATAGTAAATATAGTCGATCAGACTTCCAATTTTATTGCATTCGGTTCTATATCTAAAACTTCCTACTATAAATGGTATGATACGTATAACAAAATTATTACGACTTTATAAGCAAGGATCAATAGTCCCGCGCAGTAGTAATCTATCAGGCAAAAGGTATTCAGGACGAAGTTTTATGTTTGATTTTGTATATCCTTACCTCAATACATATTATTGTAGAAAAAAAATGCCCGCCGCGCTGAGAGTCTGTTTGTTCGAGCTAATCTCAGAAACTTGCAGGGATTTTCATATGGCTTTCACCAGAAAACATGAACAGATGAACATTTTTGTGAAAATAAGCTACTAAACCAGTGCTTAGAGGAATAAATCGTTCTGAAAGCGTCTGAATAGAATAAATGCAAAAGGTATCTGTACTATACTGGTTAGTTTTACAAAGTAGCAGCTCAACCTCGCTTCGCTCGCTAGAAAAAAAACGAATCTGTCCCACGGGAACCGTACATTTTTCCGGGATAAAAAGTAGACTATGTAATATTCCAGACTGTAATCTGTGCCAAATTTCATCCAGATCCGTTCTGGCGTGATTGAGTAACAAACATTCATCTAAACTCTCACATTTATAATATTGTGAAGTGGTATTGTTGATTTATTTGTCACTCAGCAACTGAGGAATGCGTTGATTTGATTTTTGTAGGGTTAATTTATGAGTGAGTCTTTCCATTCTCTCGGTGTATCAAATATAGTACCTGGGCGACTGAGCTTCGCTCGGAGTTTTTGGCCAAATGTAGTAATTCTTTTTTTTTAAACTTAAAACTCGAATAAATACAAAAACAAGCCACAAAAGTTAAAACTTTGTATCCGACCAGGATTCGAACCCGGATACCTGTGATTCAATCTTACGACTTGGTCGCTTGACCAGGATGTATATGCACAAGCATGCGAAATTATCGACCATATTTTACGTGCGAAAGAAAACAGCATGAAAACTCGACTCGACTCAGATATAAGACTAATCTAGGTCGATTTTTCGCCACCTAAAACCTTTACATACCAAATTTCAGCGAAATCGTTAGAGCTGTTTCCGATATCGTCATATAAATAAATATACAAGATATGCTCGTTTAAATATATTAGATTCTATTATTAATATTTCCTTTATAACTTTTTTTAAAGACACTTGCTTTTTAGATTTTGTAGCCATAAAGCTAAAATACAATCCTAACCTTACTTGATATCACGTCAGTCTATTTGTATGTCACAGCCTCTTATTCCAAACTCCAAACCGCTACCAAAACATTTTCAACGAAAATTATTTGGACAAAATCAGCTTTTGTTTCATTAACTTACTATTTACGATATGAAAGCTTATTTCAGCTGTCAGTAAAATAAACATTGTGCATTGGTGAATATTTCATTTGTGTTCACTAAAATTTACGTGAGTTTAATAAATAATACCAAACTTAAAATGTTTAATGTTATAAGTCACATTCAGTGAGCGCGTCAGATTGTTTACATGTTAGTTCAAAATTCAAATATCAATATTTAAAAAATAACTAAGTACTTGAATTCGTTATTTTTTGTTAGGACACAAAATTGAGTCGCAATGTTGTTGTTAAATTGAATTAAATGTATTGAGTCATTCTACAGCACTCATATTTAAAAAGACGATAAATTTGGATTCTTAGTTTATTCTTACATTACTATATATATATATATATATATATATATACTATCAGTACCCGCGGCTTCGCCCGTGTCCAAACTTCCGACCGCTAATAAATTCACAGGATTACCCGCTGGGCTAATCTGAAGATTACCTGAAAATCCTTCCAGTTGTTTTAGAGTCCATATGAAACATACATACACACATCGATTTTTATTTTATTTGAAAATGGATTCGTTTAAAAAAAATTGGTGAAACACCGACTGCAGCGCCACCTACTGGGTCCAGTGGTGTTTTCAAATCTTGCAGGGACCCACTCGAACATACACAAAGAATATCATTAAAATCGTCCCCTCGTTTAGGACATGATCAGTGGCACACCGACTGCAGCGCCACCTCCTGGGCCTATTTGTGTTTTCAAACCATCCAGGAGCCCATTTAAATATACACACAAAATTTCATCCAAATCGGCCCAGTCCTTTAGTAGGACTAGGTTAACAAGTGTTTGTTACGTATAGAAGAATTATATATATTTAGATATATATAATTAAAGTAAAATAAAAGTAAAAACACAGTAAGGTATTCGTATTACTATCTCAGGCTATTTTTATCGTTGCGTCTCGCGAGCAAAATCGGGACGAAAAAAGTATCGTTTATATTTATTAATTCCTTCAGTGTTAAATTTTTGAAATTTTCTAACAAGTTATAAATTATCGAAACTATCGTTTCTTATATGGGCAATTTTATCATAGCATCAAGTTTTATAAATATGAACCGTAGCAAAACATCTGTCCGTCCGGTCGCATTCCGACGACGGACGGACGAGTTCAATATATATGATTAGTTAACTATCCACTAAATATATATCGCTATTTGATACTATATCTAAGCTATCTAAATTTAGGGCGGATTCTTCGCTTCAAAACTCTATATTTAGAGGGCATTTTAAACTCTGAATTAACAAAAAGCATTAGATAATTGATATTATTTTTATATAATATAGTGAATTAAGTGTACAGACGTACATAAGTAAAAACCTTAAAAACGTTTCGTTTTACAATGTGAAGATATCGCGTGTCCTAAACAAAAAAACATACAGTATACTTTTTATGACACGTTTGGCTCAGTTTGTAATGACAATACCTTGCTGTGCCAGCGGTCGCGGGTTCGAGACCCGCTGGTGGTATTCATTTGTGTGATGAGCACGAATGTTTGTACTCCAGTCATGGGTGTTTATATTTGTAATATGTATGTATCAAAAGTTATTGTGTAGTGTGCCAACTATCTGGTATCTATAACACAAGCCTCGTAGCTTACCATAGAACTGGATGGTGCTGTGTGGTAATGTACCAACATATTATTTATTTTATATTTATTTATCCGCTTTTAATGTTAATCAAAAATATATACGTAACTAAGCAACTTATTTTTTTCTTTTGTATCGATTGTGAAAACGATTGGGGGATTTGTTTTAGTGGATATTTGTCATAATTCACCTGACGCGCGCGCGGTCTGGGCACGCGTCGTCACGTATGTATGTAGGTGGAATGAAAAGTTTTCGAATATATTGAGCTTTAATTAATATATTAATTTATACTACTTGTGGTCTGGTTGCTCGGTTAAGTAGTTTTTTGTGGCTAATCGGGAAATGGACGGCTGGCATATTATTGTGGTCGTTCGATTGTTTTAGAGAGGTCAGATTTATTTTCTAAATCTAAAGTTATCAGGCAAATTATAACAGAAGTCCTGTGTTTTGTTTGAACTAGCGTTACATTTTAACGTTTAGTATAGATTTCTCAGAGTTAAGATATTTTCCCGCTTTAAAAAGTATCCTATATGTCGACCCGGATAACCGGCTATTATGATATCAAATTTCGTCAAAATCGGTCCAGTG